TGTTGAATCACTGCCAGGGGAGCAGGCCACAGAGCTTGGCAGAGGCCAGGCCTTGAGTGGACTGAGTGTCCCCTCCCTCCCTAGGATGTTTGTTTACGGGTCACCTGAGCCGTGACAGTAGCTCATCCATGCGTTGGCTCAGCTCAGAGCTCTCCAAGGGGGTCCCTTTCCCTCCCTGTGCAAGGATGGAGAGAGAAAATGGGCTCCTCCCCGGAACTTCCACACACTCCAGCTCCTCCCTACTTCCTTCCCCAGGCTCCCTCCCACCCTGTGACCTGGTCTCTGGGAACATCTTGCTCTAGCCTCACCTCTCCCAAGCAACCTGCCCAGATTGGCCTCTGCTGGATTAGGTGACTCCCTCACCTGTGGCCCTAATGGCCAAAGTCTGGCCTGCAGTGATTTGCTGCCACTGTTTACTGAGCAGGTGCAACAGTACTGTGTCAGGTACTGTCCTAGGCCTATTCACCCATGATCTGTCATTTAACCCACACAACAATCCTGCAAAGTAGGTATTATGCCCATTTTACAGATAAGGAAACGGAGGCTCAGAGAGGATAAATCACTTACACAAGATCACCCGCTAATAAGCAGCAGAGATGAGGGTCACACTTTGGCCCGTGTGAAACTCCAAAGCCTGTGCCCCAACCACTAAACAGGGCTGATCTCCAGACAGGATCCTCGGGTCATCCTTCCAAGGGTTCATGCATCCTGCCTCCCCCATTAGGCTACTCCACGGACGAAGCTGTACCTCTCTTATCAGACTGTGAGCTCCTGAAGGGCAAGGTCCCACCTACCCTTTCCTCAGTCCCTGGTATAGGACTGCTTGGAAACTATGGGTGGCTCTGGTGGGTCCCCTTAGAGCTTGTGCCTTCACCCAGACATGACCAGATGTCTGATTTTCCAGAAGAAAATTCTCGGTCTCTCGTTTCTACTCTCACCCCTGACCCCACCAGCCCCCAGTGCATTGGAGACCCCCAACGTGGGGCCAGGAGGCTGATCAGTTGGCCTGGAGGAGAGGGCTGGGGCATGAGTGGGCAGGCAGAGTGGTTATGGCACCAAGGGCATGGAGTGGGTACTGAGCCCCTGGAACTGGAGAGAAGCAGGGCAAATATTCCTCTCTGTTCCATACAGACTGCCACTGGTTGCAGAGCCCCAAACAAATGGCAGGGACCATTCAAGTTTTCCAAGAGGTTGTTTTTCTAAGCACTGGCTGTATACTGAGCACCTCTTTTTGTTTTTGAGACAGGATCTTTGTTGCCCAGGCTAGAGTGCAGTGGAGCAGTCACAGCTCACTGCAGCTTCGACCTCCAGGGTTCAAGCCATCCTCCTGCCTCAGCCTCCCAAATAGCTGGGACTACCAGCGCACACCAACACACCTAGATAATTTTTTTAAAGTTTTTTTGTAGAGATGAGGTCTCACTATGTTGCTCACTGCAGCTTCGACCTCCCGTGTTCAAGCTATCCTCCTGCCTCAGCCTCCCGAATAGTTGGGACCACCAGCGCACACCAACACACCTAATTTTTTAAAAGTTTTTTTGTAGAGATGAGGTTTCACTATGTTGCACAGGCTGGTCTTGAACTCGTGGGCTCAAGTGATCCTCCCACCTCAGCCTCCCAGTGTTTGGATTATAAGCGTGAGCCACAGCACCTCTCTCTCTATAGGGACATAAGAAAGCAAAGGACAGGGTTTCCACACTCAGGCTCTGGGGTCACACTGACCTGGATTCCAGTCCTGCCTCTCCATGCCCTGGCCATGTGACCTGAGGGAAGACCCTCCCGTTCTCTGAGCCCCATGTCCTTTGTCACAGGGTTGAATGAGAACTAACTAGGTCAGGAGAGCAAAGGCTCAGCCCGGCTCAGGATAAGCGCTCAACAAACGGTAGCTTAAAAATAGATAATGAACACAAAATAGCTCCTGGAAACAGCATTTGTTCCCTTAATCTGGTCCCAATCAGTTTCTCAATGTCCTCAGCACCTCGAGTGCCTGCCACCCACTGCCTTTCCCATGAGGCAGGATGCGGCTGAAAACCTCCGTAGGTTTCCCCTTTCGGCCATGAAGGCCTGTATTAGCTGTCTGCACAGACAGGTAATAAAAATTAAAGGCCGGGCGCAGTGCCTCACACCTGTAATCCCAGCACTTTAGGAGGCTGAGGTAGGAGGATGGCTGGAGGCCAGGAGTTTGAGATAAGCCTGGGCAACATAGTGAGAGCCTATCTCTATTATAATATATACAATATTAAGATTAAAAGTAAAAATGAGAGCGATAGCTAATACGTACGAGTGCTTACTATGTGTTGGGTACTGGTCTGAATGCCTTACATGAATTAAGCCATTTAGTCCGCCCAGCAACCCTATGACATCAATAATATTATAATTCCCATTTTAGAGATGGGAACACTGAGATACACACACAAGGTCCAGTCACTTGCTGAGGTCACAGAGCTAGTAAATGGTGGAGCCCTGCTTCCTATTCTGCACTCCTAGCCTCTCTACCAAGTATGCAGATGCTAACTGCTGCCAGTGCTGGGATGGGGTGATTTTCCCAGGTGTGGCCTGACCTAGGTTTTGGGGTTTGGCTGGATGGTCCCGGCTGGGTGCAAGCTCTGGGCTCAGTATGGGCATCAGCCTGAGGCCTGCAGTCCTTGGCCTTGGCCAAGGGTGGACGCACTCCCTTCACCCTTCCTTCTGCAGCAGTGCCTACCTGGCCTAGGAGGCACTCAGCACTCAGAGGCTACGATTAGCAATCGATTGCCGGTGCAGGGGCCAGGTGGGGGCACAGGAGCCCACAGGAGCCTGCAGCTCCAGGAGAGTAGACAGGTGCAGGCACCAGGGCCGAAGGCTGGCTGTGAGTGCAGAGACTGAGGCCCCAGCCTGTGGAGTCAGCATGCCGTAGTTTAAATCTTGGCTTATCCTTTCCTAGCTGTGTGGCCCTGGACAAGTCTCGCCACCGCCCTCTGCCTCTGTTTTCCCACTCGTAAGATGGGGACTGTGTTCATATATAACCCAAACTAGCTTTATCTGCCTAAAACTTTCAGACTAGTATGCGCTCGGAGAGCATCAGTGAGGAGGACAGAGCTGGGTGGGTCAGTGATGCAGCCACCCAGAGTCTCTGGGACCCTGGCCGTCCCCTGCCCACGTGGCTCCCCATACTATTTTCACCTCAATCCAACTTTTTGGGTGCATGTTGAGACTGTCAAGGGCCCCATCTTCTCAGGAGGGGGACAAGGCTGGACTATACAACTAGATCTGGGGGGCACCGGGGAAGCCCAGGCTGCAGAAGGAAGGGTGGAGGGAGCGCATCTTGGCTGCTGTGGCTCCAAAGAGCCCTGGCAGAGGGGGCAGTGGAGGGACCCCCAGGTGTGGGGTCAGAGGACCTGGGCCCCAGCCTCCCAGGGTGACCTTAGCAGGCGTCTCTTCCTCCTCAGCCTCTGTCCCGTGCTCAGTGGGTCCTCAGCTCAAAGGCCAGTCCACTGGGGCTGGGACCCCAAGGTGCCTGGCATGGGGTGGCCAAATGAAGGGGAAGGGACCTGGCCACTGAGGAAACACTCAGATCTCCTCCACCTGGAGCCAGAGACTGCCTAGAACCTTTGGGGTTTCTGGAGCCTGGTGCTCCTAAAGAATCCTTAGCACTCCTCACTCTTCAAACTCCCTTCCCCTCCCGCTAGGCTGCAGGCCTCATGGACCAGGTGCTGTGCTGGTCCTTGCTGCTGGATGCCCAGCATGCACACGGTGCCTGACACATGGCAGCTATCATGTTAATATCAGCTTTTGCATAGATAAGTAAAGGAACCTCACACAGCCTAACCCTGTACTTTCCCCTTCCCCAGCCACGATTAGACATCCTGAGCCACTTACCTGAATGCCCACAGGAACTCCTGAGCAGAAGCCCTTAGGGTCCAGAGGATCGGGAAGGGCGTTATGCTCCCTGCTCAATACCTCCAGGACAAGGTCCTAGTAGCTTATTCTGGGTAAGCTACTAGGGTTGATGGGTGTGGTGGTGGTCAGTGGGTTTGGCCTCAGCCTGCAGAGCCTGAACCAAGGCCAAAGCCACCCCCACTCCCAGCCACACCCCCCTGATCCCACTGTGGGGTGAACAGACCAAGCTGGGAGAAGAGCTCAGCCCAATCGCTTGTGTAAAATGTTGCCCAGCGGCCTGTTGGAAAGCTGGTGGTGATGGGTGGGGGTGGAGGTAGGGGGCTCCAAAGACCAACCTGCCCATCCCCCAATCTCTGTGCAAGACTCTGTCCCCTACTCACCGATAGAAGCGGCCAGGGCCTGCCCTGGTCCCCCAGGCAAGGGCAGGTCCCTCCACCTCCCTGGGTACCACCTCAGGGAGAGCAGAGAGTGACAGGTCAGGCACAAGAGAGAAAGACCCAGGCGGTAACTGGGAACATCAGCTGTGCTCTGGCCCTTCTGTCCCCTGACCAAGGATGGGGGTTGGGAGGAGGATTAGGGATAAGGGTGGGGGCAGAGGAACCTTCTTTATAACCTGTTCCCCACCATTAACCCTTTCCTGACAACAGCGTTCAGGGACTCTGCAGATGGGGGCACCCGGTAAGACGTGGGAAGGGGCTGTGGGGGTGAGCTGGCAAGGCCTGTGTCTTGAGGAAGGGTGGGACAGGGAGGGTCTGCTAGTTCTCCCCGTGCCCCGGAGTTCCTCCGAGAAGCCAGGAAGAACCGGAGCCTCCCTCCCCTCCCAGGCACCCGGCAGGGGGTGTGTGGCTGTAGGGATGAGAGCGCGGCACTGGACCCTGCTTCGTGTCACCTGCGGGGCTGCAAACCGGGACGGGGATGCAGTGAGCTCTGCACGTGCGCTCTTTGCGCTGCTCCCCGCCCCCCACCGTCCCCAGCCCTGTCCCCTTCAGGACGCCGCGTCCTCGGGGGTGCGGCCGGGCTGTGAAGGGCGGGTCACCAGCCCCACCCCCCAGGTCTCCCAGCGGCGAGGGGACTGCACCGGTCCCCGGCGCCCGATCCCCCCACCCCCGGCCGAGCCCCCTCACCTCGCGACACGCAGGAGCCCATCACGGGGCCGCGGGGCCGGGCCGCTGCGCCCGGGGTGCGTGGGGCCGCGGGGCGTTCATGTCTCCGCGGGCCCGGAGCTGAGCACTGCGCAGCCAGAGGACGCGCCGGGCGGGGGTCTCGGGCGCCCTCGGCTTGGCCTCAGCTCCAGCCCTGGTCGTCCCCGCTGCCGCCGCGCCCGGCTCGCCTCTCGCCGCCGCCTCCCGCGCCGCTGCCTCCCGCGCAGCGCCCGCCGCTGCCAGGGGAGGGCGACACCGCGGGGCGCGGCGGGCGGGGCCCGGGGGAGCGCAGCCCGGAGGCCTGGGCGCACCTGTGGCCGCGGCGCGCGGGAGGGCCACCTCTGTCCCTTCGGGCCTCCCGCACCTCCCGGGATTGCCCGGGCTGAAGGTCAGGGAAGGGGAAGGAGGGGGCGGGGAGACTCCTGGCATTTGGAGCACAAAGTAAACAACATGAATTTAACCACAACAGCGACGACTGGGCACCAGGGCTTGGGGGCGAGGAGGGGTGTGCACAAGAACAACAGTTCCATTGGGCCCATTTTGCAGAGGATAAAAGTGAGGCTTGCAGAAGTTAGAGGGCTTGCCTGAGAGCCCTAAGCTGTGAGTTCAGCGACTTTTGACTGTCAATGCCTCATTCAGAGCTATTGAAATTAACATACGCAAAATAATATATGCCCAGAGGTGGGGTAGAGAGAGTGGGGGTAGATAGTGCTCTGGCGGCCTGGCAGCTGGATGAAGGGTCTCCAGCGATGGTTGAAGAGGGGGGCAAGGCTGCCTCTTAGGGCTTATCTAGGGCAAAGTAAACTGAGGCATGGGTTTTTTTTCTCAGCCCTGGACGGCCTCTGTAGTTATTCACACTCACACGCACATACTTACACACACACTCTCCCATGTGTACATACCCTCATTCACACACTGATGGTCATACACACACATATATATGCACACTTGCATTCACACACAGGCACGCACACTCACATACCTACACATGAATACACACAGTCTCCCATGTGTACATACCCACTCACACCCACACAATGACAGTTATACACTCACATTGAAGCACCCTTGCTTTTACACACACACACACATCCCAGCTCCTAAGGTGTGAACATCCTTTAGCAAAATTTCCCATGTGCACAGCACTCAGTGTCAGCATCTGAGACCCTCACTCTCACACGGCATCTCGCTCTCTCCTTCATGCCCACCTGTGCATCAGGCAGCGCAGGCACTCTTGTGTCTGTTTTCCAGTTGAGACAGCCAGGTTCGCTGGTGGCAGCAGAGAAAGGTTTTGAAGAATGAATAAGGAGGGGCCAGGCGCCGTGGCTCACGCCTGTAATCCCAGCACTTTGGGAGGCCGAGGTGGGCAGATCACCTGAGGTCAGGAGTTTGAGACCAGCCTAGCTAATATGGTGAAACCCCGTCTCTACTAAAAATACAAAAACTAGCCAGGCATGGTGGTGGTGGGTGCCTGTAATCCCAGCTACTCGGGAGGCTGAGGCAGGAGAATCGCTTGAACCCAGGAGGCGGAGGTTACAGTGAGCCAAGGCCATGTCATTGCACTGCAGCCTGGGCTATAAGAGAGAAACTTTGTCTCAAAAAAAAAAAAAAAAAAAAAAGCTGGATATGGTGGCACAAGCCTGTAATCCCAGGTGGAGGGCAGTTCTGTGCCTGACCCTGGTATCAGCAGACCTGGGTGAATGAGGGCTTAACTCACACAAGCTGTGTAACCTCGGGTAAGTTGCTTCGCCTCTCTGAGTCTCAGTTTTTTCATCCATTAACTTAGGGTAAAAATCTCACCTCATGGGATTGCTGTGAGGGCTAATGAAATTAATATATGCAAAATGACTGGCATGTAGTAGGTACTCAACTTAGGACTAAGACTAAATAATAGTGATAGTGAACACAAACAGGTGTGATGTGTTATTACTCCACCACAGCTTCCCGACAACCACAGGGAAGCCTGAGAACTTCCATTCAACAGATACATTAAAGCATCTACTGTGTGCCAGTGTGAACAAGACAGATGTGCCAATCCTTGAGTCAGCGCTGTATTCAGTCACAGTGGCTCAGAGCCTCCCTAACCGTACCCTCCAGGTCTGGCCTTGGAGGGGGTGGCTCAGAAGGGATGGCCTTCTATCACCTTGGATGCTCCAGTGCCAGGTGTGTGCCTGCCCTTGTGCGGAGAGGGAAAGGTGGATCTGCCTGTGCCAGGCTCTGGGGTCCCATCCTGTGTGGCCCGGGCTTGGAAAGGCAGCGGTGTCCTTCTCTTCTTCCTGTCACGGAGTGACTGGATCTGGCTTGGAAAGAGGGCTCTGACTCACTATGACGCAGGATGCTCCGTCATGGCAGCTGATGCTCTCTGCTGGCAGCCTGACAGCTTTGGGAGTAGATGGGACAGGGAGAGGGACCCTTGAGAAGAGGACAGGGCAGCTCACAAGGGAGAGGATGCCTGGGCACCCCACTGTGCCCCTGGTGTTCATGCTGGTCAGTTCCACACTGACTCAAGCCTCTCCTTGTACACACTGGCACTCAGAGAGGGGCAGGGGCTTGCCCAAGGTCACACAGCAAATCAGTGGGAGAGTGGGGACTAGAACCCAGGTCTCCTGCCTGTCAGCCCAGGCCAGGCACCAGCCTGAGACCAGGCCACGCAGGGGCAGTGGCTCTCCTTGCATGCTCACATTCACCTTGGAATTCTGCTGAAGCAGACGATGTCCAGACAGCTCCAAGCTGTGTGGTTGTCCTCCCCGGGGCCACACTGTCCTTTCCCAGTTTACCGCACAGCCCATCTGCCCTGTGACCTTCCACTTTCCGCCCCCAGGGCCCTCTTTGCCATGCCCGCTGCTGGGGCAAGGGGGGAGGACAGAGTGTCCATGCTGTGCCCTTCACACCTGGCAGCCCATTCTCCTGTCATGATTTTGGGGATCCAGGCAGAACCCCCACTCCTGTGGCCTTGCTCTGAGCATGCACCAGCCCTGAGTGCCCGGCCCTGGTTGGCTGCGCGCTGCAGCGTGGAGAGGAGCTGCTGCAGGGTTTGATCAGAGAAAGATTAATCAAGGCCAACCGTTACAGTGATGAATCAGACCAGGCCCTGCCCTGGCAGCCCTGGGGGGTGGGGTGGGGATGCTGCAGGAGCCACGTGCATAAATAGCGCAGGGTCAGGGTGGACAGTGCTGCATCTCCATGCCAGCCAAGTGTGTGACAGGACAGTCACTTGTGCCGAGGGCTGTGGGGATGGCTTTCAGGCGATCGTGACCCTAGAAGCGGATTTTGAAGGTCAGGTGGGCTGTTGGTGGTAGAAGGCTCTGTGTGCACAAAGGTTTGGAGGCAGGAGGCCACAGCAGACTGGCATATATGACATCCAGGAACCAGGGGGAGAGGGTGGGGCTGGACCACTTCCCCAGGCCCCAAACATCGCAAGAAAGGCAGAGGTTAAAAAGCAGCAAGAGAAGAGCATCAGAAGCCAGTCAGATCTGGGTTTGAATCCTGTGCCAAAACCAACATGCAGTAGACTGATGCTCAGTAAGTATTTGCTGAATGAATGCAAGAAAGTGAGACTCTTCCAAGGTCCCACATCTAGAACGTGGGACTGATTCAACTTTCCATTCATCCAGCAATTGCTCACTGAGCACCTCCTGTGTGACAAGTGCAGTCTGTGCCGAGATTACAGCATGAATGAGATGGACAAGAGCCCTGCTCATTGGAGCTTACGGTTCTGATGGGGGAGGCAGGTGTTAATCCAATAATGACCCAGATACATTTACAATCACGGCCCTGGAAGCGCTCAGAAAGGAGCCCTTGAGAGTGGAGAAGAAGACTTCATCTGGTCCTAGGCATGAAGGGCACATCCAGAGAAATGACAGTGACAGAGCCCACAGCTGATGGATGGGTGGGACGTAGCTAGGCAGAGAGAGGGGAGGGCCTCCAAGGCAGAGGGGCTGGGCACAGAGGCTAGGCCACGGTCACAGTCACGGACTGGAGGTGGGAGGGAGGGACCAGGTCCCAGGAGGAGGATAGAGATGGCAGTTCCTGCAGGGCCTCGAAGTGGAATCCGGTCTTTGTCCAAAGCACATCTCTTGTTTCCTCATCTGTGAACCAAATCCTGCTCCATTCATTCTCGGTAAGATGGAGGCGCAAATGAGTTTCCAGGAGAATTCCCTGCTTTCTCTGGAGGTTTGGCCCTGCCTGGGGGTTCCAGGGACCAGGACTTGGGGCCTTTTGGTGGAGGCTGAGAAAGAAGGCCACAGGCTGACCTCAGAATGGGCCCACTTTCAGCTCCAGGCTTGGGCCCAGAGGCTGCTGACTGGAGTTGGGTGTTAGGTCATTTCTCTGCTTCACCCCCAGGCAACCAGCTGGACTAGGGAGAGAGCGAGAACGGTAAGTTCTCAGTCTGATGGGGGAGACAGAGCCCTCAGGGAGCTCCAAGTCTAACAGAGGAGACACAGCCACTGTGCCAGGCACGAGGACACTGGGGTGAGACCAGCCCGCTCCCTGGGAGCCTCCAGCCTGGTGGGTAAAGAGGTGTCCCGGGCTGGGCACGGTGGCTCATGCCTGTAATCCCAGCACTTTAGGAGGTCAAGGTGGGCGGATCACCTGAGGTCAGGAGTTCGAGACCAGCCTGGCCAACATGGCAAAATTCAATCTCCACTAAAGATACAAAAAAATTAGCCGATGTGGTGGCACACGCCTGTAATCCCAGCTACTCTGGGGGCTGAGGCAAGAGAATCACTTGAACCCAGGAGGTGGAGGTTGCAGTGAGCCAAGATCACGCAACTGCACTCCAGCCTGGATGACAGAGCGGGACTCTATCTCAAAAAAAAAAAAAAAAAAGTGCCCTGAGTTCATCTCTAAGATGCCCGGCCCTGTCCTGGCCCATGGTGGCTGCTCTGTGATAGGGTCCCTTCCTCAAGGTTCAGAGGGCTGGTACCCCAATTCCTAGATCTCAGGATCTCTGCAGGTGGGGAGGAAGGCCCCCTGCTAGAACCGCTGCTTTTCCAGAGCTGTGAGTGTGAGGCAGCTGCTGGCCATCAGGGGGCAGCCTGAGACAGCATCATTCTCTGTTGCCGTCCTTTCCTTCCTCCTGCGGTCAGCTGACCCAGAAAGTACCCCGCTGGTAACTCAGCCCCAGTCATGGCTCCAGGTGGTGGATGCTACACCCTGCACAGAGGTGCCTGGCTGAGCGGGAGGGGACCAAAACCTGCCCATGCTCTGGTCCCAAAGCCCTGAGCTCTACCATTGTGTAGAGTTCTGTGTCTGCCCCAGGACGGGGCGGGTTTTTTCCTAGCACAAAGGTGTCACCTCCGCTAAGCTGTGCACTCACAGGGTGCATCTACCCAGAGGGAAGACCTTTTACAAACCTGCACAAAGTCTCTCTA